GGCCACTCACAAAATCATGAGTTCAGATTCGTAGCGCGCCAGTCGGTTCTTCTCCAGGACCAGTTTGAACCAGGACTGGTAGAGCTGGGCCTCGTCCCCGTCCTCCAGTGGGGGGGAGTCTGGGAGGGGCAAAAGAGGAAAGACACAGTCAGGGAGGCTGCTTTTATCGACTCTGAGTGAGGCCATTAACCGCACAGAGACGGCTTTAGGGCTCCGACTGGTACCTGCTTCTCCTCGCAGGATCTTCTCGATGGCCACGCCCCTCTCCTCTATATCGCGCTGTTTCTCTCCGACTTCCTCCAGTTGTCTCTGGACCGCCTGCACGGAGCAGAAAAGCCAATCAAATTGCCAATAATGGAGATAAGATTCACTCCACCAACACAGTGATGACGTTAAAAGAAAGTTTTTCCTTGCCTGTGTCGCCTAGTGCTTGCACATGGTGGGAATTGTTGGGTTTCTGTAATCAACTTCAGAGTAGGGTCTGACCTGCTCTGTTTGGAAAGGGCTGTGAGACAACTGTTGTTGTGATGTAGCGCTATATAAATAAAATTGAATTGAATTATCAGAAATTATACTTTTTTTTTTTTTTTAAAGGACTGAAAACAGTGATTTCTTTGGTTTTGCTTTCTGTTATAACTCAGTAATAACGTTTTTGTCTGCAGACTGATTGAAGCAGAGAGCTGTGTGGGATCGGCTGGAGCTAATGCATGCCCTGCTAACCCATCGGTACAACAAGCTCATGTTATCTCTGACTGTGCTTAGAAAATTGAGGAATCTGGAAAACAACACCATCCAGAAGCAGCATTAAGCCCTGTGAAGCCTCGGCCAAGAAAAAATGAGAAAAGATATTTGATTTTTTATATCTGAAGTATGTTTGTTTTAAAAAAAAAAAGGTAAAACTATAAATAAATATATATAGTTTACATATGTCTTTAATAATATTTCATCCATGTTTTGTGGAAAAACAAAGATAAGACCATTTTTTAAACAAAATGGTAGAGTAAAAGCACATTCCGCTACAGATGCTCATTTCATGTAATTACTGACGAGAAGATAGCAAAAAAAAAAAAGATGCAGCCAATCTGAATTGTTCCAGGAGAGAGGCTGTCGTTCATTAACGATGGAATTGGGGCCGAGAAACTAAACGTAAAATTCGAATCTATTGATAATGTAGTACCGCCACACCAAACTGGAAACTATGAAGCCAAGTCTAAAAGATAAGAGGCTTTAATCACAGAGGGATGGGGGATGTTACAGTCATAGGTCCTGATATTTCAGACTCATGGGAAAGGGAGAGATTTGTCTGATATGTCCTGTTTTCAAAGAGATGAGGAGGGGGGGGGGCAGCTGATGTGCCTCAGAAAGCATCTGCAGCACATCAGACCGATTCTACACCTGCAGCCAATCACTTCTGTTATCAGTGTCTGGTCACAGGGAGAGGAAATGGAAGGAATTGAGTTGTTGAATTGGGGGAAAAGTGCCTTACGGAGCAGAGAGCGTAGAGACAGAGAGGGACGAAGGTACTGGGACCACTTGAAAGAAGCACTGGGAAGTCCCATTTAGAGGGTTTTCTGCACATACAGTGAGAGCTGCTGCTTTAGTTCGCTCTGTCTTCCTTCTTTCTGCTCGCGCATTTTCGGAAAACGGGTCACACGGATGTTAACGGTCATTAACGAGGCGTTGCGTCACCTTCCACCTCCTCTCCCGGCTCAAAGGTCCTGCTTTGAGGGCTTGCAGTTGTGCAAAGGCGAACGGACCAAACCGTGCAAAACCTTTTCTCTTTTCCATCAAAAAGCTCCCCAAAACCAAAGCGTAAGCACCTGAGCCCTGTGCAGCCTCTTCAGCTGTTCCCGTTTGGCCTGCTGGGGCTCCAGCTTTTCCCGCTTCTCCTTCAGACCACCCGACTCCAGCTGGAACGGGGGGAGCAGAATGAGCCGGACGTTCACCTCCACTGCAGGTTATTAACGGAAGTCGGCATGGAGACACAGTCCACACAAACCTTGGGATTGGGTGTCCGGTTCTCGTTTTCATCCCCGCTTGAGGACATCTCCTCCAGATTCTGCTGACTGGAGCCTAAAGATAAGACCACTGAATGTGAGACCACATGAAACGGTGACATTTAAAAACACAGACTCTGGTCAGACTTGCACAGGCTTTGAAACTGGCAAAAAGGAAAGTCATATGACTTCCTCCAGCCATTCAGCAAGGATCTGATGATGATGTCACAAGCTCTGACCAATGAGGAGCCAGACAGAAGCAGACACACAGTCCCTTCTATGTTTTTTTTACACAGGTGCTCATGTTACTGGAGACTTACCTCTTATTAACATAAACTAGAGTCATTTGATGATTAGGATTATACTTTACTATCATTGACATATTTTGGCAATTCATTAATGCATCTTTTCAGATATTTCTTCAGTAAAAGCTTAATATAATCACCTCTTTGATCTTGTTCTGCTTCTTAGAATTATGTAGGTATGACCAAAAAATTTTAAGAAATACATTTAAAAATCCTAAGAAGACAAAGAGAACACAGACCAATGAGACTATATTTAGTCATTATAGATTTAAAAAAATAACGAATAATGAATGCCTCTGAATTTCCCTTTATTTTGTGGTTAAAGTGTATCCAGACTAAATGGTCTGTACACAGACTGAGATTCTGTTTTATGTTTTTATCTAATCATTTTCTTCTCAGCAAAAGTTGTGACATTCTTTTGGACGAATCATCCATTAGAGAATGACCCGAGATGAAGTGTATATCTGTGTATACATCTGTATCTGATTGGATGAAGTTTTTTATTGTTTAAATGCGTATTTTTAAAAGAAATATTGTCATTTATGTGTTGTTGAATGGACCTTGATTACATTTTTTTTTAACTCATTGACTGCCAGAGATTTTTGAGCATTTTGACAGATTTTTCAAGAGCCACAGAATAGTTTGTGCTATGACTATGTAAACACCGAACACACCAAAAGAAAGAGTAGACTCACTTCTTTCATCAGGAAAAACAATTTGTTTCTACCTTATTCCGTTCTTCCTCGACTTGCGTCTCACCGGCGACATGTTCTCTCATAGCGAACCGTTAGCTTTTTCTTATTTGCCTACAGTCTATGCTCATCTCCCATCAAAAGTGGCACTGCCACCTAGAGGGTCAATTTGTTACTACATACTCTGTCTAGAAGCCGATATTTACGGACAAGCTTTAGCCGATCGTCCCCCAGCCGCTCTCGTTGAAAAACATAAAAGACGTCTATAGACGTCTTTGGCAGTCAATGAGTTAATGATCCTAGATTTTTCTATATACATTAGAAAGCAAACATCGTATAATGCTGTTTCTCCATGCTGATGTACAGATTCCTCACTTATAAATGGAACCAAAAAAGATATTTACTGCCACTTTGAGAGGATCTGGGGGCTGAATCCCAGCTAAACCGACCTTTGCTGTGCAGACCGGGCAGGATTGTTCCGGCGTCCTTCCCCTCGCTGTCCGACGGCCTCCTCTTCCTCACCTTCAGGGATGAGAACAGGTCCACCCTCCTGCGGGCCAGCGGCCCCCCCCCGCCCCCCCCGGGGACCACGCCCGCAGACTCCCTCCGGCTCTTCAGGGACACCTGCTGCAGCAGGGAGGGCAGGTCTCGCCCCCCCCCCCACGGGTCGGCGTCCACGGACGCCCACTGGACGTCCCTCATGCTGGCCCTCCGCTCCTCCCCGGTGGGATCCGCCGTCTCCGTTGCCATGGCGCCGAAGAGCGAGCTCAGGCTGAAGGCCCCCTCGGACGCGGGCCTCCGTTTGCGGGGGCCGCCGGCTTTGGGCCTCCTGGGGAGTCAAGGCACGTCCACGGTCAGGGGGAAGGGTTTGTGCTGTGAGACAACTGTTGTTGTTATGTGGCGCTATACAAATAAAATTGAATTGAAGTTGAATTGAATTTGGGCAGCTGAAGGGACGGAGGAGGTATTGGATACAGACATTATCACGGCGGTGCTGGAGCCGCTGGGGGGGCCGCCCCCGTTAAAAGTCCTCCTGAAGGCGTTGGCCAGGGCCTGGAGGGCTGAGGTTTGGCTCTGGGATGCGGCTCCGTTCTGGCTCGGGCGAAGCTCGTCGGCTTCTGTTTGTACCTGATAAAAAAGATCAGAGGGAAGGCAAAGTGTGGTCAGCACAGCGGGGAATTAATTCCTTTGATCTCCGTTCGCACTAATGTTGGATTGCCGTTTGGTAAAAGAAAAGAGGAGCAAATCTCTCACATCCACTTTAATGAATAAATAAACTAAAGAGTCCACCTGAGCTGGACGTGTAGTTTCCTTCCATTTGAGGCTCACCTCAAAGTCTGGAGGGTTCTCACTTCCTCCTGAAGGATTGTGGGTGTCTGTTGATGTTTGCTGGCTGCCTTTGGAGTCCTGAAAAGACAAGAAAACATCCAGTCGACAAAAGGCTTCTTTGCATATTTTTTTTAAATCTAGAAATGTCAATAAATTGCCCAGTCTGTTGTGTGTCCGATGAATCGAAAAACAAAACGGGGAACTCTCAGAGCATCACAGTTTAAGTTAAAGACTGCTGGATTTACACTGATGGCAACACCGGCCGAATATCTCCACTAAGTTGTACTTTGTTTTTGAGGAATTTAACATACAGACTGTGCTCCAGTGGAAGATATTTCCTCAAAGTCAGAGTTGTCCACGGGGACGTCTCGGTCCTGTGGCGCACGCTTCTTAAAGTGCTTGAGGAAGATGAGAGGGAAGGCTGCACACACAAACAAGAAACGGGTCTCATTAGGAATCCTGAAGCCAACGAGAGCCATCTTTTGACCCCTGACCTCGCCCTTGCCCTCCGTCATTTACAAAGGTTTTCTGGTCAATGTTTGTACAACGCATGAAGCCTTTTATACATATCCAAACTTTAGTCCGTTTCTTTTTTTAAAAAGTGCTTCCTAGGAATAACAGAAGAGTGTGACAGCGCAGGAAACTCGTGGAAAGTTCAGTTAACGGGAAAGATATTGTGGTTAGTAGGTAAACAAGAAGAGGTTAGTGCAGGATGAAGGACATTAGCATCAAATGGAAGAGTGGATTTTAAATCACTAGATATTTTCACAGTTTCTATTGGGGGTTTTTGCTGATCAGATCCTCTTCATCTGGTGGATTACAGAGTTTTTCAGGCCCAGATCTTCTTCTTCTGTCCTCCACTGGTCCAGTTTCCTCTGATTTTTTAGGGACTGACTGCTCACCAGGCTGAGATCTGCCCAGTTTCCCGCTAGCAGCTCTTTGGGAATCCTCAGAAATCCTGTTTCCTGTATGTCAGGCAATTTTCCACACATCAGCTAAAGAAATGGGAAGAAATGACATGTCTTTGTGACAGGCTAACAAAGGGCCTAACGCTACTATTTAAGACTTGGTCTTTGGTAAGTTTTCCGTTATGTGTGGAGACAATACTGCCTCCTCTATGAGTTATGCCTCTTTTTTCTGCTTGAATGAATCATAGGTCAGAGCTAAGCTGCTTTGCAAACAAGAAACAGCCCTCTGAAGATCGTCAGCTACAAAAACAGGACTGAAAATGAGAGAAAACGAAGAAAACGTTGAAAGAAAAGCTGAAGGACTGGAGAACACAATTGCTCAAGCCCACTTTAAAGGACAAGAAGAGAGCCTGGCTGTTTTTCCTCATATTTAACCGTATTTCAATTAGCTTTTTTGAAGGTGTTTTAAAGTGAAATATCATAAATGAATAAATATCAAGAATTTTGTCATTTTCATTTAGCTTTTCCTGGGCCTAAATGGATTAAAAGAAACCGTTATTTTTTCATATTATGTTAAAATTACGGTACTCTTCAGAGTTTTTTTAGCACTTTTTCTCTTTCACCTGAATAAATAAACTGGATATGTAACTTGAGTATTATTGAAACCTACAGCAATTTGAGTTGCAGGCACGGTGCACAGTAACATTAATGATGCTGCCCGACAATCCAACACCGCGTGAGGTCACAGTTTGTTAGTGGACGATAAAAAAAAGGACACACAAACAAAAGGAGAGTTGGGCTGACGCTCAAGTGGGAAAAATGAAAGCCAAAGTTGAGCAACATCAACATCTAGTGTTGAACGGGCAGCACGACACCACCCGACATCACTCCGGGGTGTCGATCTGACAGGAGGCTGTATAGCCCGACACATAAAGAAACAAAGAGCTGTTTAGAACCAGAGAACAGACAGAGCTCAGCACACAGAAGAGATCTCCGAGAAAAGTCTGCACGGAAGAAAAAAAAAGAAGCTTGTGAACCGATTAGTGTAGAAACAAGACAGACACAGGCCTCCAGATGGCAAAATCTGTAGGAAACAGGGACAGGCAGGCCACACAAGTCAGAAATCTGAGGCACTCACTTGCCCGGATCTTCCGATTCCAGCGATTTTTGTTTTTTGTGTTGCTTTGACCTGCAGAGAAAATAACTTATGAGACACAGCAGCTTCATGTTTAGGGAGAGACGCCCAACAATCTGTGAAGAATTGACACTTTTCAGGATTCAGAAGTAAATCATAAGAACGCAAGATTTTTTTTTCCAGGTTTCTGTGGAAAAGGTAAAAATGTGTGAAAACAATACAAAAAGGTGGTACGTTAAATCTAAAACGACTAAAAATGACCAAGTACAACCGAAGGTGCCAGAGTTTTTTTTCCCTCATGAATTAACATATTGATAAAAGAAATTGATTCAATTCAAATGTGCAGCTAGACTCGTTTTATGGATGATACAGATGTTTACTCTGTATTCCAGATAACAGAGCTTCTCATTTTCCTCCTTTTCCTGGTGTTAAATGTCAAATGAATTTCTCCTGCAGAATGTCAGAACCAAAACTATATATTTGACTTCCTTTTTGTTGGTTTATTTTCATTATATCTGCCAACAAAGTGGGAACATTAGCATCAGGAGGGAAACTAAAAAAAGGGAGTAAAAAAAACACATCTGTAGCACAATTGCTCTGTAATATCTTCTTATAGGAAGAGTTTATGATACAAGATGGAGAAATGCTTCATTGTCCTGTGAAAGAATGTGTGGGCAAAGGAATTCAGATTTTCTGCAGCACACAATGAATGAAAAAAAACTTGTGAAGGTTAAAGCTCTGCGATACAAAGAAAGGTGCTATGATAAATAAGACCCGAAAATACTTCTGTCTTCTTTCACAATGAAATGGAAAAACCTTCCTCGGAGCGGATGAATGGAGATGATTTGATAATACAGCCACGAAAAGCTGGCCGTTCTGTCTTGATATCAGAGGCTGCATCACAACTTGGCCAGTTAAAATACGAGGACGTGCATTCAATCTAATGACGAGAACCCTGAAGATTATCCCTATGTGATACATCAACGGCTAAAGAGGGAGATTCTTCTACTGAAGAATCTTCTTCTAATGAACTCACACCCTTCCGTTTTTCCCCCCTCTCTCTTTTAGCACAGCAACAGCTGGCCATCGAAACCTATTTTGGGCCAGAGGAAGGGCCTTCGCCGGCCAGCTGCAGCATTCACAGAGAAAACCAGCGTGGGCGCTCATGATGTCGTCGCGTTTGTTCTGAATGCTGCAACAAAGCATTCAAATTTACCAATTTAACCATTCAAAAAGCTCAATTTATGAGATTCGGAGGGGAAAACTGGTTTGGAATTAGTTGTGCAACATTGCATTATGTTTTTTTTTGCTTTATCCGAGAATATACTAACGCAATTACAACGGTCCATAAGAGGGCGGCTTTTCAGGATCCTCTATGTGCAGGAATGTGTTTGGACAGACCATGCAGTCCAGGAAATCTCCACTGAAGAGATAAAATAACAAATATTTAGCTAAATGTGGGGGGGGGAAGCTATTACATGTCAGCCGCACCCTCATTTCCCACACATAATCGGGGGGGGAGGGACTCCAACACAAACAATGCGGCAGAGTCATGAGTTAAAGTTCAGACAGTTTAAGATCCTCCCTCTGGGGATACCATGTTTCCAAATAAAAACAGAGACGGGAAGTTAATTTGAGTGGCATTCAGATGGTTAATAAAAACTAAGTAAACTTCCACACGGAGCACAGAGGGAGCTGGACCGACCTTTGGTTCTGCTTTGGCCGTTGCTCACAGCGTCCTCTTCTTTCGTTGGTCCGACTAAGCAGGGAGCATCCAGAGCATCAACCCCCATCTCTGCATCCTCCAGATCTCCGTTCTGACCTTTGTCCGGCTGCTCAGGCCGAAGGCTGGACAGCCCATCTGCAAATACCGACAGCGTATGGGCGTTAGTCTCAGACTCCCCTCTTGATTGAGTTTGTGTTGTTTCATGCAAAAACTTCTACACAAAAAAAAACAGTGTTTCACAAAAATGTTTTTTTTTTTTTTTTTTTTTTTAAACCTAACTGATGCCAAACACATTTCCAATATTCACATTTTCTACACAGCAACGATTTAAGGTTTTACCACAAAATCACCAGGGTGACACATGCTGGTTAAATAGCTCAAAGTACACTTTAGGAACAAACACCGACTAGTCTCAGAGAGAAGCTGCTCCTCATTCACAGACAAACACCAAGACTCACATTCATGTGTACTCACAGAGCAAGGAAGTCAATAACACACAGAATCTGTCCAGAGGCGATTCCACGGGAAAGGAATGAAAATAAGTGGCCAGAACTCTTCAGCCATGAGACGAACACAACCGTAAAGGGATTTTACAGAATGCTCTCAGTGTATTTTTGATGGGAAATAAGAAACCGACCCCAGAGGAGAGGATAGAAAAGACCCGCCAGCAGCAGAGCCCGTGGGGAAGCTGAAAGGAAGAACTGAGGAGATTCACTTCACTTCTGTTCAGGCTGGCTGGACTTTTGAGCCGTTTTTCTGGAGCTGAACTGGATTCAGGCTAATGCATGAGGCCCGTTTGTACTTCCATGCCAACATATTTGAGCTGACTTTTTCTTTATTGTTTAGCCACACGCTGAATAAAATTCAAGGCAGTAAATCTTTAGCTTGAACTTCTTTTCATCGGACATGACAAAGAAAGTGTTAAATGTTAACAAAAGCTGTGATCCTGAAAGTATCGGTGTGGGTGATGTTAGACCAATTTGGCATGGAGGTGGAAGAAAGGGTTTGCTTTGGGAAAAATGTTAATTCTGCCGTCATTAGGTGCTCTGAACCATAACGACTAAATGCTGAAAATACCCCACATGCAATTTGCTTGATCTTTTGATTGGCAACAAAAGACAACGCAGTGAAACGTGTAATCAAACTGATTTATTTCTGAATGTATTTACATCTTCTAAATATCATAAATTAAGCACTTTTTACAGGTTTAATCAATGAGAAAACAACAAAGTGGGCTGACAAGCTGTATTCAGAATCAATATGAACACTGCAAAATCATCAACAGTACAGACAACGAAATGTTTCTGGGCAAAAGAAGCTGCTAAGGGGCTGCTGAGCAAAGACTAGGAGGTACATGAGAGAGATCTGGAGAGGGGCGCAGAGGTGGGGAGGCCTCCTGAAACACAGGGAACCACAGACAGACCACAGACACGTGGACACGGGTTACTGTCAAATGGGCTCATGGGGCAGAGCGAGCACTAATACTCAGGGGCCATGGAGACCGGACGGGTATCTGGTTTTAAAAGCGGTTAGGCATCGTGACATGAGTTAGAGGCGTTAATTCTGCAGCGAAAACAACCAGAGAGACGAGAAACGAAAAGGTGCTACGTGTGCATCCGCACAAGCTTCGAGCATCCTCCGGATTCAGCTTCCCTCTCTATCAAAAGCCTCTAAAGCTGTTTGTCTACAATCTTTACGTGTGGAAACTCTATAAAAACAGCCAGAAACAGTGACTGAGTTCATTTTTCATTTTCTAAACCGATTAGCAACTTGCAAAGGTTTCTGGGAGACTTAAGGATGGGCTGAGTTGGCCAACAGCGTGTTGATCTAGTCAGTCAAATTAAGCCCAGACACCAACGTCTGCTCCGTTTCTGCTCTCTGGGAGCTTTCTGACAGCAGCTAAGATACTCCCAAAGGTTTGTAACCCAATTCCACAGAAGGGCAAAAAAGAAACTAAAGAATCTGCATGATCCAAATATTTCTACATGCTGGCTGTAATTGGTTTTGATGCAAACTTCAGAGATTTCCATTCAACTGCTCTCAAAAACAAAATGGTCCGAGCATCACCAAAGGAAACACAAGATTTACCTCCTTCCTGCCCATGGCATCCATTTAAATTCAACCTCACAGAGCTACACGTAACACCTTTAGTTTACACAGCACGCCACACATGCTGGTTTGTGATTGGTTAATCGGGGTTAGGTTCAAACGGAAGGCGGAGCAACAAAGGCGGCCAATGCAAAAGCAGTATAAGAGATTTATGACCAAAGCTGATCAATCGTCACCCCCCCTGCTGCCAATCAGAGGGGTGCAGCATCAGAAACTTGAAACAGACTGAACGAAATGAAGTGAATAAGACAGAGGAAAATGAATTTGGGAGAAGAAATAAGATTTGTGTGGAAGCCAAAAGGAAAACAGAAGCTGCCGGAATCATCATTATAGAACTAAAACTTATACAATTTGCAAAATACATCACAAAAAATAATTACAGATTATAAAGTAAAAACAAAGTAAACAAAGTCCTAACGGAGTCAAAACGATTAAACAGTCTGCTTGAAGTTTGATTTTCAAGTCATTTCAGCTGCTTTTCAAATACTGAGATTTTGGATAAAAAAATAAAAATAACTCCAAGGATCATAATAGGTCAAATACTTACTGGTCAGAATTTGATTCTAAAGCCCATTTAGATCCAAATTATTGAAATAGTCTAAATGTCACAAAGACTATAAATAATGAGCCTTCAATACAAGAGGTAAAATAACCTGTAGCAAAACACACAAAGTCAATACTGAAATGTCATCTGATCAAATAACACAAAAGGAAAAACACTGTTTTGGCATTTGCGGTGCACATTTCTGGCAGCAGCCGGCGTAACGCGTCTCATAAGTTTACAGGAAACGAGCCACACAGACCAGACGCCTTCGAGGTTAGAGCCAGGGCGAGTTCCAGGCCGCTGGGCAGCCACAAAACAGAGAAAAACTGGGAGACTTGGCACGTTTGTTGCGATTCACCGATTTAAAAATAAAATAAAATAAAACACTTGAAATGAATGGAGCTAAGAGAAACGCAATCTGAAGTGGCAGCAGCCTGGAACAAGCCTGCGCGGGTCAGAAGTGACTCAGAAACACCAGGAGACTAAAAGTCAGAAAACGGGAACCAGGGGGCCACAGGAAACCTGCAGAGAGGCTGTACCTGTGATGGCACGCTTACCCTGGACATAAGGAGATGGAAGCTACTAAATATAGCTATCAAAGCTGTTTATTTAACACTGTTTCTTAAAAAATATATACTAAAGGAAAACATTAAGAAAAAAAAACACTTGGAATATCATGAGTTAATATTTCATGTCCATACCGTTCATTAACCCCCCTTTTACCTGCTTTGGCCAGTAAAAGAAGAAAATAAAAAGGAATCCGGGTGCCCATGAGGCCACCTGACCCAGACTGCCCCCCCCCCCCCCCCCCCACACTATGTGAGCAGGGGGGTGACGGTGTGCGGGGGGGCGGGCTGGGGCTCCTGGTACATCTGTCCCAGCACCTCATGCATCATGCAGAGCAGAGGGCAGCCCAGGCTCAGCAGCTCGTACAGGAACATATAGTCGTGCGAGTGGCTCCTGATGTGGGACCCCAAAGTCGAGACCGACCCACACACACTCGCAAACAGCCGTCCTGGCAACACACACACAGCCCGGGTGGCGCGCCTGGGCCAGCTCAGGCCTCGCCTTAGCAAGGAAACCAGGGTACCTGCGGGCTGGATTGGGATGCTCCCGCCTTCCAGCTCCACGCGGCTCTGCTCCTCCTACAAGAACCAGAACGGACGGTGAGTCACATGGAAAATTGCATTCTTTAACATGAGATGTTGTAGATTAACGTCTACTTCTAATTCTGCAGATTTTACAATAATGGCATCGGTCTTATAGACGTATTTTATGTTTTTAAACGAGAGTGGCTTGGGGGACGATCGGCTAAAGCTTGTCCGTAAATATCAGCTTCTAGACGGAGTATGTAGTAACAAATTTACCCTCTAGGTGGCAGTGCCACATTTGATGGGAGATGAGCATAGACTGTAGGCAAATAAGAAAAGCGTAATGCTTCGCTATGCGAGAAATGGCGCCGGTGAGACGCAATTCGAGGAAGAACGGAATAAGGTAGAAACAATTTTTTTCCTGATGAAAGAAGAGAGTCTACTCTTTCTTTTGGTGTGTTCGGTGTTTACATAGTCATAGCACAAACTATTCTGTGGCTCTTGAAAAATCAGTCAAAATGCTAAAAAAACTGGCAGTATGCGACTCTGTTCTGAAAATGGCTGGCAGTCAATGAGTTAAATGGCTTCTGAATGGGGTACGATAATACATGCATCACGTTTATTGATGGATTATTCTTCATAAGCCGGATATATATTTAACATGTAAGAGAATCTTGTTTCTGGATACATGAACGCTCATGTATTCAAGTCTTTAATGAAGACTTAGGTCACACAGAAAGCCATCACTTCAGTCCTGTGACATCCTGCATTTGACTGCAGCAGAAAATCCACCAATGATGTTTCAGGTTTAACCCTGGAGCTCTGGAGAGGATCAGCCTCATGATGTGGCTCATGTCCAAAGAACGACTGGATCAAAGAACAAGTTCCCTTTTTTTATGAATCTAACTGGAAAAATAGATACTTTTCTAATTTTTTGCTACTTTTTTATAGTTGGAAACTCAACATACAGAGGTGGACACTTAAACATGTTCATCTGAATGAATTACAGAGTAAATGAGGCCTTTGATTGCACCTTTCTCAAATCGCTAATGTCTGCTGGCCCCAGTCAGATCGGTGACGCTAATGCATCTAAAGTTCATTTTCCAGCCACGATTAAGAAGCCAAGGACACACAGAGGGTTGTTAGAACAAAATTAGGTAACCAGTGATGGTTAACTCTTTGGTTTGGCCCGGATGAAAGCGTCCACACCAACATCGGGGATTCATCTATGACATTATTTTTAACATTCCAAATCCCTAAATCATGTCTTTTAATCCATTAAAAAGCTAATTGGTGTTTTTCTACTCAAAGTTTGTCTGGTTTCTTTCTCGATTTCCAGATGCAGGATGTTTTTAGCTGCAGGCTTTGGGCAGAGGAAGCAAAATACCAGCCAATGACAGCACAGCTGTGAGGACTAATTAGTTCCCTGCATGAGCAGCAGAATTACGTTTAGAAATGTGTGTGAATGTTCTGGCCTTAAGGATGGAGAGTTATTTAACGTATCAGTGTCTTCCATCATCTTTAGTCAGAGTTTTGTCTTCCATTGAAAACCAGCTGGGGAGGTGGCATGCGTTTCTTACCAGTCTCCTTCTGAACCTGAGCAGGTGGGAGCCGTTTTGGTGTTGGGCGTAATGAATCTTACAGTAGAATTTAGCTGTTGGGGAAGCACAGAAAAACACACCTCCAGTCAGCCCAGTCTCACAGACTCAAAAGCAGGAAGGACATCTCCAGACCGAAAACAAACCGAAACACAACACGCACTGACAGATAGCTGCAGTGAATAACCCTTTTTTTTTTTTTAACACCCCTTGTCATGTTTAGCATTATGGCAACAGAATTGTAATCTGAGTTTTGTGCTCTGCCTGACACTTTTGCTTTGCCAAGGGAGGCCTGTCAGGGTGAGCAGCTTCCCTTGACCATCCAATACTGCTTTATTTTTTATTTAAGATTTATTTTTGTTACAGAAGTAAGATGGTTAATGCCAAACATGACTGGAGGGACAGGAAAAGGGGGAAAAAGGAGAGAAAAAAGGAACAAAAGATTAAATTAAAAAAGGATGAGAAAAGTGAAAAGGTAACAATAACAGTAACGAAAAGAAGAGAGATCCCTAAAAAACAGGAAAAACAAAGAAAGAAAGACAACAAAACCATCCATGCTGCCAGTGAAATCAAACGCACCCTCCTGTGAGTCAAAGGCGTGTCCTCCCAGGCGCAGGGTGCAGCTGCACACGTGGCAGCGGAAGCACTCCCGGTGGAAGAAGAAGCCCTCGGCGCTCAGCCTCTCCATCACGTAGACCCGCCGGCTGCAGAAGTGGCAGATGTCGCTGCCGCCCAGCCCGGGGGGCAGGTCTCTGCGCACCACACACTGAGGGGGCAAAACCAGGAGCCAGTCAGAGACCTCACGGAGACCCCATTTGGTGGCCATAAGCCGAGGAGAAGATCAAATAAATGGGCAAAACAGCTCAGAGGTTTATCCACTGGATCCGGGAGGTACTCTACAACCTGAAGCTTGAGAAACTCAGATTTTCACTTAAAGGCTGTGTAAAATCATTCAATTCCACCTGGGACCCTTTTCTACGACACACAGAATCTCTTAATTATAACTCTGAAGAGCTGGGGGTTGTGTAGGAGAGAGGGTGTTTTATGTATTTATTTATTTATCTGGTTGTTTATGGCGTTCTGATGTGTGTGTGTATGTGTTTCTGTCTGTCTGGTCAAGAAGGCTTGTAAAGGGGAGGGTGGGGGTTGCTGGGTATTGTTTTGGGTTGTTTGCATACAGTTGTGCCACTAAATGTGCCATCTTTATACTTTGTACTCTGTATGTTATTGGTTTAAAAAATGTTCAATAAATAAAGTTTGGAAAAAAAAAAAGCTCAGAAGTTTAACAAAAGCCAGCCACGATTCACAGTTTGCTGAACATGTGGCCCAGTAATCAATGTCCGGGTCAAGAGAATAAGACATCTGGATGATACGAGAACCCAAAGCTGGATTATTTTGCACACAACACTCTTTATGGGGTCTTGTTAATCTCTTTCACTGAACCAGGGTCCACTCTCAAAACATTAGGGAGAAAAACAAACATTAATTTCAACCTGTTAAACACCCAAAACGTCACAGAAAAGGGTTAGATTCACTCATTTTGAATTAGTAAAACGGAGCACACAACCCTGGCAGCCCAGAACAGAGACAATGTTCACACCGGCAGAGTCCGATTTGCCAATTCTACCCACCACGGTTTAGTTCGGAGGAGCGGACGACACCCCAGAAACTAAACCCACCTCTGAGAACGCTGAATACATAACCATCCAGTTCACATCAGTGGAAACTCTGGTTGAAATGTCCTGATATCTGCCCAGTTTTTGTGAAAAAGGGTAATTTATGATGTAGAAAAATCCCTTGAAGCCATCTATTTTTAACTCCAAGTAGAATAGCACACAGACTTTCTCCTCTTAAATCCGCCTTAAGTGTTTCCTTTTTCCCTGGAAAACGAGCCCATGAGTGTGGAGCGTGAAGCTCACAAATGTCCAGAAGCCAGGTGTTTGTACAGCTTAATCTGTGCATTTAGGCCCTCTGACTCATCCCAAAGTCCTTCATCTGTGTGTCGGTGAAAGGTTTTTCTCTCCTCACTGTGGGATTCTCCGAGGTTGAAACCGACCTGTACGGTTATTATTAGGCGGCTGGTTAATGTTAGTGAGAGCGTTATCCACACAAAGAAGCTAAAATCTAACCTCAACCAGCCTGATAATGCTGCTCTTTAAACGTGACAACTCAATCTATTATCAAGCCATGTTACACACCACTTTATTTAACATGCAGGCTGCGCACACTTTTGGGTTAGAGGCGTCTCCTCGGCCTCCACGTGCAGCTTACCGGCGCCGCACTGGGCCGGTGGTCTGTCTCATAGAGGATGGCCAGTAACTGCGCTTTGGTGTCGATGGCCGACGACACCTTTCCCACGGTGCGCTGGCGCAAAGCAGAGAGGGGAGGAAGGAGTTGGGCACGTGAGAATGGCGCAGAGGAGGATGAAAGACCCGGTTTAGCTGAGGTATTGTACCTCTTTACTGTAACTGGGAGCTCCGGTGGGGCAACTCTCAGACCGGGAAACGGGTGTTGGGGCATTTCTTCTTGGATTTTCAACTTCACTGCTCCCATTACTCTGAACAAACCGCAGATTAAACACCACAAAAGCCACAAGTGTTTTTCCAATTCTGCAGATTTTACAATAATGGCATCGGTTTTATAGACTGCAAGCGGCAAAAGCTTTTTTTATTTAAGGGTAAAGATCAGATTTTTAAATGAATATCTAAACAGATTCACCTGGGTGGTGAACCTGTTATAGCTTTCTCATATCTATACATAAAAGATGCTAAACTGGACGTTTTTCATCTTTTATTAACTAATCACTCTTCCATCCATCCCGGGTTTGAGGGCTTGATTAATTTATATCTATTAATGTTCAATCTTCTTACTTACTACATTTTTCCACAGTCTAAAAGCCTTTTGCCTCCAATGAACCGGCAGCTTTAATTTTCAGATCCTGAAACAATAGTTTTTTTCCATAGTTAACAATTGAGTCGATGAAACTGGTTTTGTCAAAGAATAACTACGCTTTGGCAACGTAAAAAAATTGAGATACCACAAGGATCTAAATCTGAAAACATGGGAAATCAGCCAACCATGACATTCTGCTCCTTCAACACAAACAGGAAATAACCAGCACAACCTTAATTAGGAAGAAAAATCTTTTCTGACAGGTTAGAGCTTTAGTTTTGATATTGTCCTTTTTCCATTAAATATTTAAAAAGAAAATCTATTTGGTAGGAAGCTGAATGGGCTATGATCTTTTAAATAAAGGGACATTTAGACTGAAATCATTTTACCTGGGATAAAAAGCTGTTTTTGTTTATGATATAAAGCTATAGATAACACAGAGGCCCTTTACCTTCATGTGATCGTTCTTAACTAATTGTCCACCATTAAATGTCCCCCGGGCAGTTTTGTGGACCCCCTCCTTCCCAGTTTCCACATTTCTCCAGGAATTTCCATCTATCCTGTCCAGATCACAGCTACTGGAGAACTTCAGACTCTCAACACGAGGTGAGGAAGTGGTACATAAGGAGGACGGTTGCTCTGATTGGTCAGCGTTGTGGTTCAATAGGGAAGTGGGAGAGGGAGTCTGTGGCCTGCTCTCATCCTCAGGAGAGTGGAGGGCAGCAGAGGGGAAAGCAGGGTGGACCACAGAGGTTTTAGATGCAGAGGAAGGAGCAGATGGAGGGGTTGGTGAGGAGGGAGGAGTAGGAGAGGGAGACAGTTCCACCTACACAGGAGCAGTCAGACAAATCAGGTGATAACCTCAAATCAAAAGGCTCAAGATGACCCAAGATCAAGCTGTAAAGTGTCAAAACTTAACCTAATCATCCCTTTAAAGCTCTTTGGGTTAATACGTGACAACAGGGTGAATTAAAACCCAACAACTCTCCTCTTTGTTACAAAATTAGCAGTGAAAAGAAACTTTGATGCATCAACAATTAATTGAATTTGTGTAATGTCACCAAGTCAACTGTTAAATAAGTAGGATTTCCTGAACGCTGCTGCTGCCAGCAAATGCAATCAACAAATGTTCACTCCGATGGCTCCTTATTACTCTGAATGTTTAATCTGTCACTGATTAAAATAACCCTATCATTTCCTGTCAGGCAGCAGTCAGGAAATTCTGCAGCTTCACTCAATTTCAGCAACAACAGAAGACTGTGTCCTGCCTTAAATGCACAAAAAAAAAAAAAACAGCCACAGCTGCATGCCAGCCAAAGTAATACTAAAATATTAGAGCAGGCCCAGTTTCACTGCGTTAGGAGCATTTTTTAAATGCATTAAAAGAAAAAAGACTGGCTGTGATGCATGCAGAATGCAAACTTTCCCACTTCTTCTAAATTCACACAAGATTAAACTAAAAAATAGCGTGAGCTCTATAGCAAAGACATGAGAAAAGCCAACGGGAGAAAGAGCCAATCAAAAGGAAGCGAGGCCACACTGGAGCCGTTTTCCATCTCTATCCACATCACCTCAGTCACCCATTTTTAAGTTACTGAAAACTAGCGGCTGTAGAGCAGGCGTCATGATCAGGCTCCCATATTAACGGGGTATTAGTCACTAGTGAGATGTTCATGAACAGTGGCGATACGAAACCTGCGACAAAGAGGGAGGAGCGGGTGCTTTGCTGGAACCGTGAAACATGGAGGAGATGAGCACAGCTCTCTCCTTTATACTCTTCCTGCAAAACTCTCGAGTGGACAACTTCTGGCTTTTACTCTGAAGGGAAAGCAGGAAGTGGTCAAAGGGGAGAAGAGCAGACCAGATGAGGAGGCGTTCAGGAGTGGGACGGGATTCACCTGAGGCCTAATCTCCTCTGACTTCTCAGAGGACTGGTCGGGGGCGGGGGAGGGGAGCTCTGGTCGGAGGGGTTCAGACACACTGGGGCTCAGACAGAGATGGGAACTTAAGGGTTGGGGGGGCGACGGGGGGCGGAAGGGGGAATTGGGGCTGCTGGAAAAGGCCAGTGGAGTTTCCCAGCAGCCGAAGGTAGACAGACGGCTGAAAAGAAAGGGGGGGGGGCAAGAGAAAGAAAAGTGTGAGCTCACAGAATGTTTCCTCAGATTCAGAGATACACGCGTTTGCTTTGTAAACCAAAGGAGGAAAGAATACCTGCCATTTGGGGCGAGGAAGAGGCGGACGAGGAAGAGAGGGGGGGTCTTTGGGTTTGGCAAAACGGGGGTTTTCCCTCTCTTCCTCTTCCTCCTCATCTTCCTCTTCCGAGAGAGAAGATGGGGTGGCAGAAGGAGAAACAGAAGGTGAAAAGGAAGGACTGGAGGGGTTGTCAGACTGCTGGCAGGGACGAGGAAAGGAAAGGAAAAATTAAATTTCTCTTGTTTCCAGAATAACTGGAAGTCATTTGTTAAGAAATAAGAAGAAAAAGAAGTAAAAGGAAAGACACTAAATACTAAAACTAAAAATGTCTGAGGAAAAGTTATATAATCATATCTACTTATTTTGTTCTTGAGGATGTTCACAACTTGTGTGATTAAGAGGTTGCATGTTTTCCTGGAGAAGAAAGGCTCAACTCCTCTCCTTAACTCACCTTTTACTCACATTGTTTCACTTTTAGAGAAACCTGAGCATCAAATCATGACAGCACAAACCAAACTGCACAAAAACCCTGACGAGAAGTTTAAAAGAAATTCACAGATTACACCACAAAAGCCACAAGTGTCATCTAAAGAAGAGTTTTTCAAATTCTGCACATTTTACAATAATGGCATCGTTTTTATAGACTGGAAGCGGCAAAAGCTTTTTTTATTTAAGGGTAAAGATTCGCATTCACCCCCTTTTGGTCAAATAGGAAAACGATTAACAAAACCATGAAGAAAAAGCTCCTCCTACGTGAGTGGCGACTGAACCGGGGTCTGGCTCTCACCTTGGGGCGGGCTTTCACTGTCGAGGAGTTTTCCTCAAACTTGGCCAGCAGCTGCGTGGCCATGGAGCGGACCTTGTTCTCCCGCAGCTCCCCGTCTTCGCCAACAGGGGGCGCACTGTGGCAGGACAACTGTGGAGGATTCAGGACACAGAGGGGATGATGACACAGAGGCCACGGCGTGTAATCCAGTTACACAAACTGCTATCAGAGGGTCAGAGCGCTGCAGCTGAGGAAAACAAAGCCTCTTTATTTTTCTTTGCTGCCACATTAAGAGTAACCCGAAAGACTTGGGAGTGGTTGTTGAACCCACCTCTGAGAGGTAGCTGCTGCCTTTCCGCCGTCTCTTGTTGACAAAATCATCTTCCAGTTTCTTCTCATCCTGCAACAGCACATGGAAAAATAAAAATCGCTGACGGCTTCTATCTGACAATGCCCTCTAATGCTAATTGTAAAAATATTTTTTTTTACTTGGAAATGTATTAAATATACTTTTATATGTAGGTGTAATTCGTCCTGAACTTCCAAACAAAGCAGAATCAAAACACAAAAAGGCCAAATATGTAGCAATCAAACCATTTAAAATGGATTAAAAGTTAAATAAAGCAAAAACAATAATAAGCCAATCCATTATGAGCTAAAAAGAAAAAAAAAACGGTATGGCATATGATTTAATATTTAAATTAGACTAAATTTGCAAACCTCGTATAAGCTATCAAAACTAAATAAAAAATAATAAACCCATCAAATAATAAAATGAAGAATCACAGCATAAGCTAAAAGCTGGGCTACATCATAAAAAACAGAAAAGAAAAAAGAGTTTATGACAAACAAAGCCTCCATCTATATGTTTTCCTCATATTTTCTAATCCAAGGCCACATTTTCAGTGAGTAGACAGCATTTGTGGTGAATGGATCTAGCAGAAGAATATTCTCTGACTGAATGAAAGGAACTTGGAGAATAAAGGAGGAAATAAACCCTCATTTATAGTTTACCCTGGGTATCCTTTTCCGGGGCTGGTTCTGCGGTTTGTGGTTGGTTCTGGATGGATGTTCCTCACCGTTCTCGTCTGCTTCATTGGAAACTAGAAGATGTAAGCATACAAACACGTTTGGAACAAATATTGTCCAGGTATAAGAGCAATCGTTTCTAAAAATGGAAGAAAATGCGGACACAAATTTCAGGATTTTCAGTCTCAACACATGAAATATCTTCAGAACTGCCCTGAATGTAAAATGTGCCAACAGAACGTCTAAAACCTTAAACCTTTCTGTCTTCCTCAGTGAGAAAATGAGCATCAGCCTCTTCCTCTTTTAAGAATAAGAGGCGGCAGCCGGCAGAGCTGGAGTGACCACAGACGAAGGCCTCTGGACTAAGGCCCACACCACTCAGACCAACCTGACCACAGTTGTGTAACAGGCAACTCTGGCTCCTGCCGCACACACGGGATTTAAACCGAATTTAAAAAGGAAATGCGCATCTGTTGCCTTGTTCGTCAATCCAAAGGCGGAGAGTTGCTCGTTATGCTGGAAGTCTTTGGTGAGCATTTGAGATAATCACAACGTTTTCCTTTGTAAGATTTGGCATTTCATGTTTTTGGTGCATATGAGGGGCACTTCTTCTGTTCCCACTGTACAGTTTTATTTCATATGCTGGATAAACTTTGTAAATGATTAATTTCACTTTAGTCAAAAAGGTTAAGATATCTCAACTTTATAGCGATTTATGTGCGAGTGAAATGGGGGGGAATTCGACTCAATAATTTTGACTAATTTGGGCTTTAAGTCACGCTCCAGTCGTTACTTTTATCCCACCATGTGGGCCGATAGTTTACATTAAAAAGCCATTTTGGAGTGATTTGAAATCACTGATAAACAACTATGCACATTGTTAAACACAGTAACGGGGGTTAATATGAGTCTTTGGTGGGTCATGTGTTTATAAGATGGCCTGCAAAGCCATGTGGATTTTGGGGATTTTTTTCTTCAAGAATCTAATGAAGACATTTGAAAAAAACTTTTCTAAATGCTTCTGGCTGACTTAGCTGATCATTCAGGGATCAAATCTAGAAAAACCATCTAGAACAACACAGTTTAGCGTTGTTTCTGCTAATAGGACAACTGAAGCTTTGTTGAGTTGATCAGCGAGGACTGACCGTTGTTTCCCGGCGAGTTCCTGAAGGCCTCGTAGAACTTGGACAGGTAGAGCACCATGAGGAGCTTGTCCGGTTCTGCTTGTGCAGCCATCTCTTTCCCCGTCGTCACCGGCTGGATGCCGAACTCCCGCTCAGCCACGTCGAACGCCAGCTGGTTGTTCCCCGCCACCTCCTCCTCATTCAGAGAGTCAAAGTCGCTGAAATGACAGGAGATGAAAGGCGTGATGGCGGGAAGCCTGACAAGATTTCTTGCCACATCCTCCATATTTCCAGAAACGGGGAGAATCAGGACAGATGGGGAAGGAAGTGTATTCTGTCTAAACACATTTGCCTTAACCCTTTAAAGCCTGATCCAAGAATAAAACAAAAAAGAAAATTACTTTTTTTTTGGTTTGAAGTCTTTATTTGGCCTTTTAACAAAATATGTAAAAAGAAAAGAGAGAAATACATTTTTAATATTAATAATTTATTACTATGCGATAAGTCCAGATTATTTTTTGTGTAGTCTTCTGCCCCCTGTTATCAGGTGTATCTGATTGTGTACAATAGGATTTTGAGCAAAGTTTTTACCATTAAATTATGCAAAAGGTGTCAGACGCAAAACCGTATGTATCAAATATGATACATTTGGCATTACAGGGTTAAATCTCAGGAACTTTGGGGAAAACCACAGACTGAAGAAACGTCTCATGGTCTCCAGATAACAAGGAATGGCTCTGTGGTGCTGTGACGGGATCAGAGATGATGCCATTCCCACCAGTCCTACTGGCACTTAGACGGGTTTTTCTCAGCCGTGTGTTGGCAGTCAGAGAGCAACAGAACAAACAAACAAACAAACAAACATCGAGAGCTCGGGGTCGTGCACGGACACTTCACGGAGCCTTCAGCCAATCTCATCAGCCATTTAGACCCAAGCTGCTACAGAGACTAAGCTAACTCCAGAGGATCAATACAATCAGATTTTCAAATGCTTCTCAGAAATAGATTACCTACAATCTTAAATGAAGTTGTGGCCAAATCTAAAAGCAGGAATTGCACAAAAGAAATTGTATTTTGTCTGCACCCTTCACTTTTCATCTGTCTAATTTTGATTATTTTTCTTTTCTTGTTTTTCTGCTTTTAAATTCTCTGTGAAGCACTTTGAATTGTCTTGTTCACGAAATGTGCTATACAAATAAACTTGCCTTGCCCAAAATACATAGAAAAAAGAACAAATCTGGACCTCTGTCCACCTCACAAAAGTGACTCAGAGGTAGCTCAGAAGACGATATAATGACAATCTTTAAAGAGTTTCGTCTGGTCGCTCTAGTCAGAGGTTGTTGGTTTCTCCTTGGGAGAGGAGATTTGATCTAACAATGTGTGTGACTCCAGCTCAAACCAGAGGGAAGAGGCAAAGTAAATGGTGCTCGGCAGGAAGCGGATTCAGCCTCACCGGCACCGATCAGGAAAAGTGAAACGGTGAGAGAGAACAAACTGTGAGCGGCCTTGTGTGTGGGAATTGTTGGGTTTCTGTTGTTAACTTCAGAGTAGGGTCTGACCTGCTCTGTTTGGAAAGCGCTGTGAGACAACTGTTGTTGTGATGTGGCGCTATATAAATAAAATTGAATTGAATTGTGTGTGGCCTTACATGAGCTCGGGCCTCTGGCGGTGGATGAGAGCGCAGAGGGCCCGGCCGTCCCTCCAGGAGGACGTGAGGTTGGTGACCTGCACGCCGCGGTATCCCTGGGTTTGCTTCTGGCACCAGGTCAGCAGCCGCCCCGGACGCACCTCCGACTCTGCGGGAGACGAGACGAGTCAGAGCTGCTCGTTTCAAAGGGTTCTGCGGATCCTCAACACCTACCGGCTTTCCTCCCTTTGGAGCAGGGGTGTCAGAATCCAGTCCTCAAGGGCCGCTGCCCTGCAGGTTTTAGACATTTTCCTGCTTCTGCACACCTGATTCTTATTAACTAATTGACTGCCAAAGACGTCTATAGACGTCTTTTATGTTTTGCAACGTGAGTGGCTTGGGGGACGATCCGCTGAAGATTGTCCGTAAATATCAGGCTTCTAGACAGAGTATGTAGTAACAAATTGACCCTCTAGGTGGCAGTGCCACTTTTGATGGGAGATGAGCAGATTGTAGGCAAATAAAAATAACGCAATGGTTCGCTATGCGAGAAATGGCGCCGGTGAGACGCAAGTCGAGGAAGAACGGAATAAAGTAGAAACAAAAATTTTTTCCTGATGAAAGAAGAGAGTCTACTCTTTCTTTTGGTGTGTTCGGTGTTTACATAGTCATAGCACAAACTATTCTGTGGCTCTTCAAAAATCAGTCAAAATGCTTAAAAAACTGGCAGTATGGGACTCTCTGTTCTGAAAATGGCTGGCAGTCAATGAGTTAAATTGGAGTTCCTCTGGACATTGTTAAGCTTTGCACCTGTCTAATGGCCCTTTGATGTGAATCAGGTGTGTTGAAAAAGGGTTACCTCTAAAACCTGAAGGACAGCGGCCCTCGAGGACTGGAGTTTGACACCCCTGCTTTAGAGGTTAAACCTCTGGGAGTAAAAGAGGTGGCTGTGAAATATAGAACGAGCACGCTTGTTTGATCTCATTGAGTATTTTTTTTCCCTTCATGTTAACATTTTAAAACAATCCAAATGCGACGCACAGACAGCAGCACTCGCAGCCAAATTTAACGAAAAGGAGAAAAATAAAGCATCGAGCCCCATGTTTCACTGCCAGTAGTTTGTCTAAAGACATCTGTACAGCTGTTTCTAGCAGAATTACCAGAATGAGGATTTTTTTTTCTTCAGATTAACATTTTAAAACAATCCAAATACGACGCACATACTGTAGCACTCAACCAAATTTAACGAAAAGGAGAAAAATAAAGAAAACAAGCCCCATGTTTCACTGCCAGTCTAAAAACATCTGTACAGCTGTTTCTAGCAGAATGAACACCAACAGATGGAGAACATAATAAATCACTAAACAATACTAGTGTGAAGCCTTTATTGTGACTACTGGACACTTTTAAATTCCCTTTTTTACTGACGCGTTCGTTTTGTGGCCCATAAACACGCGGTTAGCTGCACATCCAGGAGCAAAATGCATCTATTCAACAGAGGAAAATTTGATTCAAACGAAAGAATAAGTGGAAGCGAGGCCGCCCTCAGCACCTTCAGACTAAACAACCCCCCCCCCAGCATGTCTGGGACCGGCATCGTCTTTGGCCCCCATTCGAGTGTAATAAAACCCGCTGTATTGTGCTGCGACGAGGCGTGTCGAGCGTGTCTTAAAGATAGAGTTTCCCCGCATGATGTCAGCCTGCCTCCAGCCAGAATCAGTAAAGGGGCTGATGTTAAGAGACGCCCGTCTTTGTAAAAGCTCTAATTTAAACGTGTTGAAGGCTTCACGGCCTGCAGATGAGCTGCTTCATTTGTTATTTCCACAAAGGTTCTCAGGCGGCTTTTAATCTAATCTCAGTGGTGAATCATTGGACGATCGGATGACGAGCTCCATATTTCACTGCCAACAGTTTGTCTAATGACATTTCTAAAGCTTTTTTTAGCAGGATGAACACCAACAGATCAGCCGTCTGAATAAAAGCCGTCTCAGTGACGCAGACTGCTGAAGGTGAGTGGATGTTTACTCTGGTTATGCCATAAGAGAATAACAGGTTATGATTTTAATGGCTGGAGTGGAGTTTTAAGATAGTTTACCTCTTCTGGATAGGTTGACAGATCTCCGTACTGGCCCTCCTTTTTCCATCCGACTCGAGTCGTGCTCACCATTGAAGAACAGGTGACGCACCTGTGAGAGAAGCCAGGGCACGTTTAAGTCTTTTTGAGAACTTTTTAACCCAATCTGAAATCCCATTAATTCTTAAGGTTAATTTAACAATATTGAACACTTTTGGCTGTAAATTCCATGTTAAAAAACTTGTATTGTTTCTTTGTCACACAAGCTATAGGTGTGAGATTTATTTATTTGCACACTGGGCCTAAAAATCCAAAAAAAAAAAAAAAAACATCAAATCAGAGGAGCAAAATGTCCAATTTCAAATTCACAAACCGCTTTATCTAACGAACAAGGAACATTTCCCATTAAAATGCTCATATTGTAAATTTCTGATTGGTTTATGTGGGACGTAGGAAAAGGGCCGTTGTGTTCCCTTAGATGAGTCAGTTTGAGCCGTTTGCATGGCGGAAATTCTTTATTATCAGTCTGCTTTTACTCTGCCGATTAACACAATTTAAAAACTGGTTTGGGTCCAAACTTTAGACCCAAGCTGCTACAGAGACTCAGCTAATTTTAACTCCAGAGGATAAAGACAATCAGATTTTCAAATTCTTCTCAGAAATAGATGACCTACAATCTTAAATTAATTTGTGGCCAAATCTAAGAGCAGAAATTTGCACAAATACATAGAAAAAAGAAAAAATCTGGACCTCTGTCCACCTCACAAAAGTGACCGTAGATCAGAGGGATGATATAATGACATAATTTCTAAACAGTTTCATCTCGTTGCTCTAGTCAGAGGTTGTTGGTTTGCACTAACAATGTAGGTGACTCCAGCTCAAAGCGAGTCTGTGCATGCAAGCAGAAACAAGAAAATATTTGATAGTATATTATTTTATAATATTTTATCATTTTTCTTCAGCCGAGGAACTTTTTAGTCAAACGTACTCCTTTTTTTTTAATTTTAAATACAGATATCTATGCACCGTAAATGGGGTGAATGAGCCTTTAATGTGGTCACTGACTGAGAAAAGATTCAAATTAGCATTAATGTTGAATAAGAGTGGGCTGTGGTTGGTTTGTGTTGTGATGCACACCGACCTGATGTGGGCGCACACAGCTGGAGTTGAGGTTTGGGTAGCGGGTCGCGGGGTCAATCGTGTACTGCTCAAAGTTTTTGCTGATGTTCTCGGTGGTGGTCTGAGGCAGCAGACGGTAAAGACTCTCCCTGAGAAAGACAAAACAGGATCCAAGTGTTAGGTTTAGGTTTCATCGACTGCATGAGGGCCGGCTGATTTGTGTGAGGACAGGAAGTGGAGCAAAAGGCAGCATCAGGAGCAGGGAGGAAACAAACTAGATAAAAATATACAATTGAATTTATTTTAGATTTTGGTCCACTGTAACGTGTTCAAACGAGTTATTTATCAAAATCCTTCATGTTTTTCTGTGTTCCAGGTTTTCTGTCCCTCTGACCTTCCATCTAAGCAGGAAACTGCAACACTTCTCTGTTTATAGTCCAGTTTTCTCACTCTGCTTCTATCAGAAGTTGGTACTCCTTTTTATTCATTAGGTATGAAACAAATATGGAAGACCTGTGTAACATCTAGAAAAACAACCCCATAGAATTCACACAAGGATAAAATTTACATGCTGGGCGATATTATGTAAATGTGCATATAATTTGGTTTTGTTTTGAAGTTTTACAGGCATATACATCTTTAATTTACAAAAAATAAATAATTAGAAATAGAGACACAAGAAAAGGCCAACATGAGAGCTGGTGGGGGTCATTCAATCTATACTGTCCCACATGTTGGGAAAGTTTGGGGCCAAATGCAGATTTGTTCCACTGTTAAACAAACAGTAAACAGCTGTCTGCCTAAAATCTGAATGAAAAATTAACTCATTGACTGCCAGCCATTTTCAGAACAGAGAGTGTTTTGAACATTTTGACTGATTTTTCAAGAGCCACAGAATAGTTTGTGCTATGACTATGTAAACACCGAACACACCAAAAGAAAGAGTAGACTCTCTTCTTTCATCAGGAAAAAAAATGTGTTTCTACCTTATTCCGTTCTTCCTGGACTTGCGTCTCACCGGCGACATGTTCTCTCATAGAACCGTTCCCTTTTTCTTATTTGCCTACAGTCTATGCTCATCTCCCATCAAAAGTGGCACTGCCCCCTAGAGGGTCAATTTGTTACTACATACTCTGTCTAGAAGCCTGATATCTATGGGCAAGCTTTAGCAGTCCCCCAAGTCCCCTAAGCCACTCCCCCAAGCCACTCTCGTTGAAAAACATAAAAGACGTCTGTAGACGTCTTAGGCAGCCAATGAGTTAATTGCAAAACATTTACCGGGCGGCTCCCATCTTAGTTTACAGAAAGTGGAAGCAGCTCACCTCTCTGCCAGTATCTCCAGGGGGTTCTTCCCCTGTGCCCAGCTCCTCACCATCCAGGCGGCGTCGAAGGCGGCCAGGAAACCCCGAGCGCAGCCAGTTCCCATCGGCCAGAAGGGCTGGGGGCAGAAAATGTCCCGTCGGTGAACACGCCCAAAGGAGGATGAAGAGGGCCCCCCCCCCCCAGAGCCGCATTACCTCCAGCAGACTGTCTCCAACCAGGGCCACCAGCAGCTGGCGCCCGTGCTTCTCCCGTATCAGGGCGGCGTTCTCCGAGGCGTACATGCTGGTGAAGTCGAACATGGCCACGTCGGGCTGCCCGTAGTGGTTGATGGCGTAGTCCAGGGACGGCAGCTCGTAGTTCGTGCCGAAGTCGGCGGCCTCGCGGGCGTAAGAGCGCAGCGCCTCCTGGTCCACGTTGTCCGGACCCAGAAGCCTCTCCGTCTCTATGTAGTCCTGCATCCGGAGGAGACACCGAGAAATACACACGTTACAAAAGCAAGTTTCATCAAATAAATTCAGCTTGTATAAGAAGAAAGCATAAAAACCTAATGTAGCTTAATTTTCTTCTGGAAAATATGCCCATCCTCACATTTTCACACAATCTCTGAATTCTGGAAACAAATTTCCTCATACAGAAGCAAATTTCATACTTTTTAAACTTTATTTGAGAAGTAACTTCATTGACAAAAAACTGAGCTGGAGTCTTTCGATCAGGCAAAATGTAATAATTTAAACCTGTGTGATAACAGCAAAACAGAGATGATTTTGTCTGGACGATGACAGAACAAAGAAAATCTCTGTCATTTCATACATGAAGTCAGAGGCTTTTGGCATCTTTCTGTCAGATTTTGGGGAAAGAAGGTCATAAATGTGTAACGAATCAGGTCTTTGTTTAAAAAGATTTGGCCTCATTTTTGTCTCAGGGTTGATTTTTAAGCCTTTATTGCTCGTGTTCAAATCTCTTGTAGCGATTTAAGATCCAGCTAAGATGAGATATGTCTTTATGGAACAACCTAAAACTATAAATAATCTTATTAGCTTTCAATTCAAGAGGAGTTTGACCTCTCGATTGTGTTTTATTATCATGAATATCATCTGAATCATTTGCTTTTATGACTTTTGTTTATCTTGCACTGTGCAGGACTTTGGTTTAGCTGGTGTTTTGATGAGCTTTGGTAATGAAACCGGCGTGGTGAGTGAGCCATGAGGCCACGTGTGCAGGCGCCATCCAGCTGACGCGGGAAGAAATCACTCAGCACCAACGGCCAATGTAATCTGAGAAGGAGCCCACTGAGGGCCGGGCCGGGTTTCAGCACCTGTGCGCGCGCTCACACACACAAACATGCGTTTATGCAGTTAAAAGTTGTAAACCTGAGAAACAAAGACATCCTTTGATTTTCTCCTTCCCCTCAATACCAAGTTAGAAAATAGAATATATGGCTGGATTAATGTTTGTGAGCTTTTAGGCCAGTGATGGTCATTATTGTGCGTCTGTAACTCCTCTAAGTGTGTCAAGATAAAAAACCACCTTCAGTCTAATGTCTACGGTGCAATCTCTGTCCAACGTGTGCCTTTCTGTGGGGGCATGTGAGATATACAAGAAAGGTGTGAGAGAGCAAGCCTTTAATTAGAGCCCCGTTCATCATGATCCTCCACTGTGACGCACTCTGTGGCCTCTCTGATCCCGTTAGGCTTCAGATCTAAATGCTGGGTGGGCATTTCTGGCCTAATTTTGTCACGGAGACCAATAGGAAGGCAACTTTCCCTCTCCCCGTCTAAATAAAAAAAACCCTTTAGAACACAATAAACTGCATGTGTGTTAGTTGTGTATTTACACATACAGCTGTGGGAGCTGTTAGAATAATCAACCAAACCAGCAAACGGTGTGAAACTCTGGACAGCGTTTGATGTTATGCAAAGACTAAACTCTGATTAAACCACAAAGAAAGTAACATATTTGGACTTGCGTTTATGATGACTCCTTTGTCCAGCAGGCTCTGCTTTTTTGCGGTCATCACAAAGTAGTGGGTGTTGTCTTTATAGTAAACAATGTTCTCCAAGTCAATTCCTAAAAAGAGTGTAAATAAGCAAAGATGTTAGAAATAAAGACAAAAAAGCACATTAGTTCTTACATTCAAACTTTTCAAAGGCAAAATTTTCACCCAGAGAATGCATCTAAATTCAATTTATTTGTGTTATTTTGGACTCCTTTGATTGAGGTCATGTTACTCTGAGGAGCTTGAATAGGCACACCAGGACTTCTTTTTCTTAGCTCCTGAATACGTCGCCCTCTCATCAGGATTGGATTAATGGAGACTGAGTGTGAGTTGGACTAATTTGGGACCCATTATGTTTTTATCAGATTATGACTGTATTAGAGACTGTTTCCTCTGTGTTGTGATAATTGTTTTGATGTTGTGCGATATAAATAAGCTTCCGACTTTATTTATATCGCAAAGCTTGAGAGGATTTTAAAGTTTTAGGTGAAACGTCTACAAGACAAAGAAAAAGACCTTATTGTAAAACAGTAGGGAAATAAATAAATTCACTAAAACTGAGCATGTCCAAATATTTGATTAGTTTTTTCACTACAAGCCAAAGAGTTGAGCTCTAAACATGTCCATGTACATTCTCACCTGTCTCCTCCTTCAGTTCCAGGAAGAACTTCTGGTTAAAGATGAAGGCCACGCCACTGATTTCTTCCACTTTGGCCTCTGCTGTTGTGTTCCTGTTAACAAAGTTAGCTGTGATGGCGATGGCCAGCTTCCCCCGAAACTCCTTGCGATAGAAACCTGCACAGACGGGAAAATAAATCCGAGTTATCCTGGCAAAGGAAATCTAAAAGAAAATAAAGAAATAGACCCCTGGTGCTTGATTTTAGAGCAACAAAAAGGTGATAACTCAAAGAGAAACTAATGAACTGCACAGTAGGGCCACATGGATTAAAACAAACCCCTTCAGGAGATCGGTTCATGCTTATCAAAGCAATTATAAGTCAATATATGAAGGTAAAATATGTGACAGCCAAACAGCAAATCATGCAAACACAAAGACACCAGAGCAAACATTCAACATTAATCTTCGTTTGATCCCTTAAACACGTCAGTAAGCATCAGAGAAAACCGGAGTAACCACACGTTTAAGCTCCAACTATGTGAGCAGGAAATGCTTTAGTGTGGGGGGGGGGGCAGCTTTGGATGGACGGCCCATAAATGTGGGTCAGTGGAAAACCTTCCTCAGGTCTCACTTTGATCCAGCTGTCGGCATCTGCCTCAGAACTCACCGTCCAGAGTGCTCCTGCGCCCGTCGGCTCCGATGATTACGTCAAAGTCGAAGTCGGAGACGGGGTGGCCGGCTGGCCGGATCTCTGCTCGCCACCCAGGGCCTGAGGAACGTCACCAAACAAACGGATCCCGTCAGGAGGGTGTGAGGGCAGAGAAAAGGCGGATTTATGGGTGGCATGCCGCCCTGCGCTGCCTCTCATGTTAAAGTGTTGATGTGAACAATTCAATTCAATTTTATTTATATAGCACCACATCACAACAACAGTTGTCTCACAGCGCTTTCCAAACAGAGCAGGTCAGACCCTACTCTGAAGTTAATTACAGAAACCCAACAATTCCCACCATGAGCAAGCACTAGGCGACACAGGCAAGGTAAAACTTCCTTTTAACAGGCAGAAACCTCCAGACAACAACCAAACATCAAAATTGAATAATGGCTTTCATTAGCTTCTGTCCCTCTTCTGTCTCCAGGGTTATTTCTGATCATTCAAATGGGTGTTACATGTTAAGATTTGGCCCTGCGATGGACTGGCGGACTGTCCAGGGTGTACCCTGCCTCTCGCCCGTTGACCACTGGGATAGGCTCCAGTTCCCCCCGCGACCCCATGAGGGAATAAGCGGTATTGATAATGGATGGATGGATGGATGGATGTTAAGATTTGTGTTTATAGCTTAGATATGCAGGCAAGAGCCCAAAGTAACCCCTAAAAAGAAACTCCTCCCCTAAAAACGGATTCCAGATAGTGTACAGCACATAGAAATGAAGTGGCTCCTCACATTGGCGGACTTACTGTCATCACTCTGCTCCTCCGGCGGCTCCAGGAGCTTTGAAAACTCCACATTGACGTGGATCTCCACTCCCAGGATCAGGCTCACTTTCAGCAGCATCAGCTGCAGCTGCCGGATACCTACACACAAACACAAACACACATGCTGTGAAATCCAACATAAATAACACACTAAAAGCAAGGATGGGGGGCATTTTCAAAGGAAAAATAAACATTTTAATATCATTCTGACTGTCTGCAAGCAGAGAAATTAATGCATCACCAACATCTGGTTTAAGCTCGTGAGAAACAAAACATCCCTCCTCATTTCTGTAACTTGTCAGAAAGTTGAAGCTCATCCAGGTATGATGAACTCAATTCTACTCATTTGTCAAGTTCTTATAGACACCTGGGGTGTTGCATTTCAGAGCCTGGTCCTTGAGGCGTGCAAACCTGCATGCTGTCCAAGTTTCCAGCTCCAGCACACCTGATTCCCATAAACAGGACAGGTCTTCAGCTCTTTAAGGTCTTCAGCTCTTTAAGCTCTGCAGAAGGCTGATGAACACCCACTAATTTGAACCAGGTGTGCTGGAGCAGGAAAACACTGACAGACAGAGGATGGATGGACAAAAAGGTCACCATGGAAACAAAGACACAGATGAATCAGTCTGCTGGCGTATCTTTGGAGTTGGTCACCGATGAAGTGGGAACAAGTTCTGAACTTGATAAGGTAGAATTGTCTGAGTCTTTCACATCTATTCTTTCTACATGTTTCTCGACGAAACAAAGTTTGGATGCCCCAAATATGGGTTAAGCATAGCAAACTAGCTAATCCTGCTGGCTAGCTAACCCTAACCCTAATCCTAATAGGCTGAAATCATGTCTAAGGAGTACAATGGGGGGAACTGAGCCTCCTAAATGAAAGGACGTCCTGGGTGTCCCATTCATGTCCAAGAATCAACAATCTGCAGATCAAGTTTCACACTGTATCAGTTTTAGGGTTGTCAAAAGTATCGATACTCAAAAAAGTATCGATACTAAAATGTTGTATCCGGATACGATACTCATTTTCAAAAGTATCGATACTACCGCGCGAGCGCGCGTGCGCGCGCGCGACGCTGACCTGCCGTCGCTGCGCCCCTTCTCTCAGATTTATTTATGTATTTTTTTACGTTGTTTATGGTCATTAACAAGTTGTTAGCCTTGAACTGCTAGCTTCGGCTAATAGCTAATAATAACGTGCTACCATTAATCAAGTACATATCCGACTCCGCCCACATCGAAGTCGGCCATTATAGTTACATTAACAATAGGAAGATTCCAGGGAAGAAAATCCTAATTTCCTCATGGCAATATAGAGATTCATTTAAAAATTGTAAAATTAATCTTTCAAACACTTAAACTCTACACATATTATTATGTTAACATAGTGTATATTAAATAGGTTTGTACAATAAGTCCAAACAAGTTTAACCCAAAAATATTTATTTCTCACAATTATGAAGGGTGGAGGGTTAGGGTCAGGTTTGGGTCAGGGTTAGGGTCAGGGTTAGGGTTAGGGTTATTAATGCAGGCCACCAGTCACGATATCATCAGTAACAGGTCAGTTTGAAATGAAAGACACTAACCTGTCAAAATTCATTTAAATTTTGGGGTCTTTTTTTAATCCTTGTGGTATCGAAAATGGTATCGAGTATCGAGTTTTTTCCTGAGTATCGATATCGAGTTGAAAATTTTAGTATCGTGACAACCCTAATCAGTTTCATGAATAATTGTGGCTCAGCGGGTCCTATTTTCAGGGAAGAAGACACGGATACACATGGAGAGAAGTCATTATGATGCGGGTTATAAATACACCACCGCTTTACATAAGGACAGGAAACGTCCCACCGGCCGATACAGAGGAAACAAACTGGGTCTATGCCAACACTCCTCCCACATAAAACTCATGAAAGACACTCTTTTATCAGAACAGCTTTGGTTATGACAGCAAACAGTGACATGTTTATCTACACAGTTGTGATTTGACACACACGCATGCAAAGCGGGCCTTGTTTTACATGCAGCTGGGCTCTGGTACTTTGCATGTCATCTACTGAATCAGCAGGTAAAAGAGGAAACAAGAGGACAATTTGTTACTAATTTTCTACCATTTCAAAATGGTTCCTTTTTCAAACTAAATGTGTGAAGGATGTAATTTAAAAAAACTTGGGATTCTGCCCTAAATTTCCACTCACTTATGTGGTCGATGGCGCCGGCGCAGAACTTGCCGTAGAACTTCTTGGCCCCGAGACCCCTGAGGTCATGGATGGTGAAGGGCCAGAGGTGGAGCACGTTGTTCCTGGAGAACGTGTCTCTCTTTTCGATCACCACCACCTTGCAGCCCAGCAGGGCCAACTCTATGGCCGTCCGCAGTCCACACGGCCCCCCGCCGATGATCAGACACTGAAAAGAAAAGTTCCAATTAAAGATTTTTCCTGAAAAAAAAAAAAAAAAAGTCTCCGCTGTTCATTAAACTGTAAAAAGGACATTCCACTCTGAATGTCAAGAATGAGGGGGAACTGGAGCTGTGCGAGGGTGTCCCCGAACCAGATGAGATATTTAATGACCCCCCCCATGAGAGTATACAGAAAGGAAATGGTCAAAATTGCACCTTATTTTCTGGTCATGTAGAAAAAGTTAAACCCTCCTGGGGGTTCGTTTAGCTCTTGGTCAACATTTTTGAATGTTTGGCACCATTGTCATGTTTGTACCTGGGTCACTTTAAAGATCGGGTGTATTAGAGGAAAGAAAACTATTAAAAACTGGCTAAAAGAAGCCAGCGGCTGGCTACGGGTGAGGAAATCCAAGATATGGAATGACTCACCTGTGGACAAAAAAAATGGAGGAACACTTTCTGGAAAACTGGAGCGAATTGGGTTCGTACAGAAAAACGTTTTCAAGAGTTTGAAATTCTGGCACAAGAATCTTCAGGATTAAGGATTCAGAGTTGGTTTTATGTGTGTCATTTTCATATTATTATTTTTTTTTAAGAAAATGGTGAACTAAAGCTAAAGCGGGGAAAACTAGAGTAAAATTAACAATAAAGTTTGTCGTCAGATGTGAAAAAGAGATGACAAAAATTGGAATTTAAATCTTTGGGAACTATAATCTGAGCCACTTTCCTAGTAATAGAAGTAAAGACAAAGATTCTCAAACATTCAGATACAGATAGTCGTTACAGTTGTGGAAAACAAAGCACACGCCCAGTTTCAGCTCCTCTAACTCTTTCTGAATAGCAGTTTCTCTCAGAAAAAATGTGTGGAATAATAGCCAAGCTGTTATTTTTGGCCCACCCAGCAGCATTAATCTCCCTCTGCAAGTCTCCGGCCTCTTTCCCCCTCCAGGATGTCTTATCTTTCCCTTAAGATACGAAGGCTTTCTGTCCCCATGCCCAAAGTGCTGCTTAAAATGTGCAACGTGCACAGCCAGACAGCGCAGGGCATGCCATGCCTAACATGGCACGCCTCATGTGTCACATGAAATGCATATCTGAGCCTTCACACTGCGTTTAAGCCACAGTTCAACTTACAGCCAGGCCCTTCTCCAGAGTTTCCGCTACGGCGACTTACAGAAGCTGATCCGTACATTAAACCAGCTAAACCCTCAATTTGCAGCAACTAAATGCAGCTATCTATGCGGCTAAATTCAGATTAATTTAATCTAATAAAATAGTGTTATGCAATACAGATTACAGGAGTTAAAAATGGAACGAATTTTTGTTTTATAAGATTTAGTAGATTTGTTCCTTTCTGAGACAGATCAAATTCATTGTAAATATACACATTTATGCCGCACAGTTTAACCCCTTTCTGTGGATCCCTCCGGTGGCCCGTGCTGTTTTTAGCTACTTTGTGCTTCTCTAGTCATTTCACATGTTCAAATTTAGTCGTGTTGGTCACAAGAAACTTGTGTCCATAAAAACTGCAGCTCTGTTTTTATGGACCAGACTCATTTATTCACAATAGCAACTTATTTTTTCAAGTTGTCATTGTATTAGTCACAGAACTGGCAGAGCTTTGTTAGCATCAAGGTTATTTCTGCTGGTGGATCGTTTTAAAAGGAAATGCTCAGAAAGGAAATATGAGTTACTGAGATAAAGTTACATGTACGTGGAAGACTTGTTTGAATAAACTGAACTTTTTGTGACTCTTGTAGCCGACTTAGGCAGCTTGTTGAATTATTTGTTGAGCTTTTTCCCCTTTGATAACAAGACAGAAAAAAATACAGAAAAAGTTGACAGGAAGCAATAAAAATATCAGAGCCTTGCAGGAGCTTGGTGTCTATAAGTCTATAAGCTTCGTAACCACAACAACCTGAATATAAACCTCTACAAAAAGCACACACAAACTGCTAACATGTTAAGCGTGTCTAGTTATTCGTCTAGTGGGCCGCTCTCACCCTTGTGCCTTGGCAGATTTGATTCTGCTTGTAGACCTTCTGCTGCGCCCTTTTGTCCAGTTTGGTCCACAGCACTTTGACCTTCCAGGAGCTCACTGCGGCTTTCAGAGAGCTGTAGAAGTTGCTGTAGTCCAGCGGGTCCAGGTCCAGCTGCCTGCAGAGGATGCTGAAGGCCTGCAGGGTCCCTTTGCAAGTGGAGGCCTGGACGAAGTTCTCAAAGAGCTGGCTGGCCTGAGCCGTGCGCTCGTCCTCCGTCTCACCCATCGGCTCCGACGGTCCCCTCTCCTCTCCTTAGAAGCCGGCTCTCTTCTTCCACTTTTGCCTCCTTACCCTCTGCTTTCACTCAGTCTGTGGCGTTTACAACACAAAGCAAGAATAACCATTGTCAGATTACTTAGAAGATGCTTTAGATTTTGTCCACGGACGTTAAAAGTCTTGTGGGTTTGTTTTTTTTCCCCCCCAAAGGTGCACAGAAGATGTGCATTACCATGGTTACGATACAAAGCTGCTCTCGAATGCACCACCTCCAGGGAGACTCATTTTAACGATAGGATGCATCAACAAAATCACTAGTTCTTTTCTAATTGAATTGCACTCTTTTCATATTTCCACTAATATAGATGGAAACAAAAAGGAGGAGAAATCAATTACTTTACTTGTTTGTTTGTTATTGGCAAAACTATTTTATTTGAGGCTCGAAGAAAAAAATATATATGTTTTTCTCTCACTAAACAGAGGTTTAATCATAAATCTTCACCTTGAATCTGTTTAGATTATACCTGTAAGAGTCAATTAAAGGAGAATATCATCATTTTGGTTTTTTTTTTAACTAATGAATTTCTAAACCTTGCTACATCTTAGTTTTGGAACAGCATCCAGGAACATTTGCGTGTTTGAAGTCACGATTGCGACTTAAAGCATGGGGACTCAGTTAGCCCACTAAAACTTTGTCATTGGTAATGCTGGTGGCTCAGGCTGCCGTGGCCTGCTGAGGTCAACATGTGGCTTCTGAGGAGCCCGTAGAAAGGCCAGCAGCTCCAGCTTTAATCTGCACATGTTTTCCTCGCGCACGGCTCCGCGGCTCCTGCAGCTCTGCCGAATGCCTAACGGGATTAGGAGCCAGTGAAGGGGCTCAGCTGACCAAAATTGTAAAACACGGCCAAAAACACCCTCACAGCACCAGGACGCAGCACAAAACACTGGGAGAAACAACCCAATTACACAGAACTGCGTGCTTAGTTGCTAAAATGAACAAACGGCTCCAGATTTAGAACTATTCATGAGGCGGTTGGCCCACTATCAGCAGGACATCAGTTCCTCGTTCCGCCATGAGCATTTTCCTCATTTCTGCCTCCCTGATGCATCTTATCTCCTTAAAAGAGTTCAGTTCTTATGAACTCACATCCACTTATGCTTCATCTAGTTTCTGCAGTCTTTTCTCCAACCATTTTCTATGTTTTCCTCAATTTTTTTCCATTTCCTGGCATTGAACACATCCGTTTAACCGAGCATGGATATCGAAAGAGAACTCCACACAGAAAGACCCAGCAATGATTCAAACCAGCAACCCTTACGTTGAGATTCATGAAATCACCCCCAAAAAAGCAGAACACTCAAAAGAACAGGAAAACGGACCCAGTCGGTACGTCACAGTTTCATGAAAGGAAAGGCTGGGAAAAGCCGGTTCAGAGTTTAACTGTGCTGTTCAGATTATCCGCGTCTTTGACAGAACGTCTGTCAAAGAGGTTTCTTGAAAAATACAAAAAATGAATAAAGGAAAAGAAAAAACCTTAAGTAAATACCACTTTTCATCCACACAAAATTACAAGATTATTTTAATGTCCTTTCACTTATCCAGGGTCCATCCATCTATGGACGCAACAGGTACAGCAGGGAAATCCAGGCATCCCCATCTCCCCGTTCCCAAGTTTGAAGGAGTATTTAACACCTACAGTCTGTCCCAGGACCTCCTGCCGGATGCTAAAGCTCATTTCAAAGTTCATGGTGTTTATGATACCCTGTTTGTTGCCCCCAGATGCAATGCAAACGACCAGAACCGTCCTGGTGGAGTCATGACGCTCAGTGTGGATGAGAGTCTTCAATATACGATTGAATTAGACTCATCTATGGATAACTATTTCAAGTCATTTTATCAACTACATTTACGTGAAGTATTTAATTAATTTCACAATCTTCACTGCAAAAACGGACAGAAGCCTCAAATCGAAGCCAAGAATTTCCGAGATGAATTCTCCATCTGAGTCGAGTATCAGATTCCGATGTCTGGAAGCCTCTCTGCATTAATCTCACGGTTACAGCTCCTACAGGACAGCTGCTAGCACCACTGTGAGGGGGATCGCGTTTCTCCTCCACATGCATTCAGAGATAAGGCCATCGCATGTCCATTTACACACACAAACACACACAGTGTTACACAACCCTGAAACTAAATCAGCTGACAACTTGTGGTCATGCTGTCTATGCAGGTCTGCGTCATGGTGAGGGACAGCCTGTCCCACAGGCTGGGCCTCCATGGAGCCGGCCACGCATCAGCCCAACCCACCTGCACACACTTTCCCTTGAAAACCCCTCGATTGGCCCCGGGGGGGGGGGGCTCTCAGGTGTCTCCTTCCTCACAGGTTGGCAGCACACAGCAGCCTCTCGGTTACTATCAGCCTCTCCACAAACATGCTTTTCAAGCCTTTCGCAATTCAGCTTAAACTCTCCAAAACACCTCGTTGTCCCGACAAAAAGTTGCATTGTGGAATCAGTTCGTTTAGCTGTCTGACACCCCTTTTCTGCCCCGCCCCCCCCTCCTCTAACAGGAAACCATACGAATCAATGTCCAGTGTTTAGAAACGGCATCCTGTTAAGAGCTTCAATAAACTGTAAAACGATGAGGGAAATACTGTGATGTGTGCATTAAGAGACAGAGGGAGGTTATGGGAAAGAGCACAGCCTCGGGAACTGTTCTATTTATATAAAGTCTTCTGGCAGGGTGCATGCTGGGAGCTTGGATACCGGAAGTGGTTAAAGTGGTAATCTCTCGCCACATTTCTTCATGTGGTCACAATATCGCCTCTTCAATCTGAGATCAGTCAGATCAAAACTGCATGAAAAACAGGTCCTTCAAAGTGCAATCTGGATCTTTAAAAATTAGCCTTTTACAGCTAAAACTGATGGAGGACAACATAAAAGAGACGTTAAATATTCACAACAGTTATTAGGCTGACTATTTTTCTTGGTGAAAGAGTAAAGATGAGGTCACCGTTGTCCGTTATGCCTCTGGGATCTTTTCTCTGTAGGGCGGAAAGATAAACCCTCAGAGACGGTACAGATCTTTACCCGTTTGGTCAAACCAAAAATAACCTTTATGGTGCTTCTTTCACTTTGACACTGTGGCAGCGACTGTGATGCTTCCTCCTCTGACGAATCCTCACCAGTGACGGCTTTGTTTAGGCACCAAGTGGTTTACACAGAGTTTGCAAATAAATGCTTCACTCAGCTTGGACAGGAAGCCAATAAACACCCCCGGGAAACAGCAGGTTAAAAAGGCACAAACATGCATGACGGTTTATATACAAGAAAAGCTCTGAAAAGCACCATCTCATTATTTTAGAGCGAAAAGAGTCCACCGATCTTTGTCACATAAGGAACTCATTTTCTCAGCTTCTCGCAGTAATGATGCAATTAGCACCTCCTCCTCAAACAAATCCATCATCTGAAGCGGCCATTTGCATCATCCCGACAATAAGTTCACAGCCACTTCAGTTAGAAATAAACAACTTTGTTCCTACAACTACAACTGTGCAGAAGGCCGTTTATGAAAAAGGAGTCACAGGCAGCTGATTATTTCCTCTGACATGAGGAAGTGCCCATTCTTAAATCATCTCCAATGATTCATCTTTCAAGAAAAGCTTGTTTTGTAACATCATTATTGCCAGATGGAGAAACAAGCTGGGGCCAAAGTTGGCCTGCCAACATTTCCACCTCTAAAAAAAGCCCCAAAAGGAACTAACGGCTAATCATACAGAAACATCTAAGCTATGCGGGAAGTCAGAAATCCCAGCGCCACACTGTTAGAGGAGAGCAACAAAAGTACTGGAGCGTGCAGGTGACAAACGGAGCAGGACCACAAACAACCAGACACTTCTTTCCAAGAAGAATCACAAAATGACTCCACTTTGACAGCTGAGGTGGAGCTGAGATATGCAGCGGCTCCCACTCTTCACCCCACAGTGCGTCAGATTCAGCGTCACGATGAGACGGCCGTCTGTAAGCATCACACACAGTTACCAGACAGCAGTTTAGGGCACCAGGCCACTTCCTGACCCAGAAAATGAAACCCTAATCTGTTAAAGCCGTGCTTCATCCACCAGAGATCCAACACCTATCGAGTCGGATTTCGAGCTGAAGAAAAAAACGTTTCTGATTTGGAATTTCTTCCTTTCGCTCCCAGAAGAGCTTGTTGGATCTCTGATCATCTCCACCCTAAAGGAGTTCTCCTACTTGGCTTCCTCAGGTTCATTTTAGCCTTTAAACTGAGCCACTGGTTATAATTCACTCCTAATCGGCAGCATCTACAACACATTTATCCACTCGTTTTGCTGCTTGGTTACAAAACAATCGAAAATGTGAAGAAAAAAAAAATCAGCTTTATAAGGAATTAAGCGAGCTAAACTGTGATTAGAAGCATTTATTTTTTATCAACAATAAAGCTTTTTTTTTTTATTATCTCTGCTGTTTAAGTTTCATATGCACAGCTGAGCCTCACTCCCTCTGACAGAGGTTCAGTTTATTGTTCTACGAGTCAGACACTTGCAGCACGGCTGATCCACTCAGGATGAGAGCGAGTTAATGTCTAAGAGGGATCAAAGCTGCGTCAACAGGTTCCGGCCCAGACGGCTCAGTGTGAAGGCAGGAAATACACAGTGAGACGAGGAAGAGGTCAGACAGGAGTGTTGGACAGAAATTCAGGGAATTCAAACGACACCGGAGAGAACGAGTGAGAGGTGGATTCGCCTCTGAAATCAGGAAATATCAAGAAGCTGAATGGGATGTGGTCAGACAAACCCCTGAGGCCAGAACAGGCCGCCGCCTCCAGAAAAACTGTCTCAGAATGGCCATAAAAACCGCTGCTTATTGCAGAGCCGAGGAATTTCTCTGCAGCAGTCCCCAGTTATGTTGCGGTAAAAAAATAATAAAAAACAACAATAACGAAACAAAAAAAACATGGTTGAAGAAACAGAAAATTCAAACCTACAGAAGAGCTCACATTTCATGGCTCTGAACTCTTCACAGGGAGAGAAACTTTCTTCCTTTCCAAACCACAAATCACTCTCAGCTTT